CCATCCATCTGCGTGTTTTTTTCCAACGCGTGCATTTTCTAGTCTTGCTGCCACAGCAGCGCGCGGTCGAGGTTGCACACTGCCAGTAGGACTTACTCCACTGTTGTCGCGACGACCAATTCCAAGTACAGTGCAGACTGTTCTTCCCGGTCGGATGCTCATCTGAACGTTTACTCTATAACACTCGACAAGCACGGAATCTGTCCAACAACACCAAGCTATATTTATTTTTATTTAACATCATCCTTCAAACACAGTGGGGGCAGCACAGACTGTCAGAGAAGCAGATGAACTCCAGCATAGCAACATGGACAAAACAGGACAAAACAGGACAAAACTGTGACTGCTAATTCGCGATGATAGGGTGTATCAAAGCACTTCAAAGTACCATACGCATTCCACTGTCCAATCTTTATAGACATATCCATACTGTCGATACTACCTCTTCCTTGCACACGTGCTGTCAGTGTCAACAGCAGGCCGAGGAAAACGAAAAGGCCCAGAACAAAGGTAATTTCGGCTGAATCCGCCATTGTCATTACGGTGGCGCTGGACAGACACGTCTACAATCTATTGATATGGAACTACTGAGATGATGGATCGTAAATAAACTTTGTCCAAAGATGATGGCACGACCCTAGGGCATAGTCCCCTACGAACAACAACGGAACCGTGGGCTTAGAGATGGGGCTAGCCTCGATCTGTACGACGACATCGGTCAGGCACGTGCATGCACCTCCTCTCCCGAAGTCGGCCATGGATCTCGCTCTCATTGACATGACAGTAGATCTGAACCAAGTCGAGTCTCCAAGTCTCCAAGTCTCCACCACACGCAATATGCCCGTCACCTTTGCATCTTCTAGCCATGCGAAAACGTAGACGGACGTCAGTCAAACTGGAGCTGCGATAAGGTCAAGCGGGACCTCGGACGGGCGACTCCTTCCGCCTACCGTAGTTAGTCAGCCGACGGTGGTATTGTACCTGCAGTTATCTCAAAATCCGACGCTCCGCTTAGCTTCGCACTAAAGGCTAGCGTTAAACTAAGAACTCCTAAGCTAATAAGATCCTGCTTATATAATTATGTGTAAAGCGTTAGTAGAGTGTCTAAGGAAAAATAGGATATATTTTAGTAGTACTCTAATTTTATAAACCTTACTCTTTATATATTTTTATTAATATTATTAACTATAGTACTACTATTATTCCTAAAAGTTTTTATTTTAAAGTAAGTAAGATTCTAAATCTAATAATATAAATTTTATCTAATATATATAAAGTAGGTGTAGTAAACTATAGTACCTATATATATAATTTAAAGTCCTAAGTCTAAAAGTTTTATAGCTATTAATAACCTACCTACTACGCTATTACTATATTCTCTATAAGCCTAGTAACTATTAGAGCTATTTCCTATACGCTTTAAGATACACCTCTAGAAGTTTAAGCCTAATAGCGTGTTATAATAGTAGATATTTATTATAGACTAGCCTTAAGGGAGAATATAATAAGTGTTAATAATAGTATTTAGTATCTTAAAGAAGAGGTAAGCCCTTAGCGCCTTTTTATAGGTGTGTAATATATTTGCTTAGTAGTAGTGTTAGACTTAGTCTATCTTATATTAGACCTAGGCTTAGGTATAAGCCTAAGCCCTTTATATACCCCTAACCTTCCCTATAAACTATTATAAAATTGTCTTTCTAGGGGTCTAGGGTTATATCTTTATACCCTATAATCTATTTTAGGCTTTATTTCTATATATTCTTAGGTTTTATTATTATATCTTTATATTTCTTTCTAATTTATAATAGGCCTATATATTAAGTAGTACACGCGTATAGCGTCTATATACTTATTTTAGCACCCTACTATAAAAGTTCTAATATAGCTATCCTACCCTACTATAAATTTCTTAAACTTACTTTATTATATAATAGATTTTCCCTACTAATTAGCCCTTTCTCTAATCTTTTTCTATTAATCCTGCCTATCTAGTTCCTATTATATCTTTATCTATAGCTACTAGTGCTAGTAGTAGGGATTTACTATAAGGTAGTTAGACCCTATACTAGGCCTACTAAGATAAGGTGCGTACTTTTAATATTCTCCCTATATTTCCTACACTAACTTTTATATAGCATACACCTCCCTAAATATAGTTACTTAGTAGCTTTATTATTTCTAGTAACTTAAATAATAAGGAATATAATAGTAGTTTTATAAAGCTACTTTCCTATAATTAGTATATTAACTAGCTTTATCTCTTTAGTAAGTGTAACTATTAGGAAGGTAGTAGTAAGTTCCCCTTAATTTTATTTTCTTTATAGCAAGTTCTAACTATATCTAGGGCGCTTATATAAGTCCTACTATTATAGCTATAAGACCTATACTTAATTAGAAGCTATCCTTACTAATAATCTTAATATTTACTAAGCCCTTTATAACTAGCTTTAGTTTTATTATAGTTACTAGGAGGATTGCCTCTATATTATAAAGAAGGGGACCCTTAGCACCTTTATAGGGAAACCTACTAAAGGTACCTATTACTAGTTTATACTATAGTTCTACTAGCTCTACTACTATTTTAAGGATCTTATATTAAGGGCTTAGACTAATAATACTATTACCCTACTTGCCCCTACTACCTACTTACGCGCCTATAATTAGTATTAGCTTAGTGCTATTATTCTATCTACTACTAGTACTCTAGCGTTTCTACTTTAGTCTACTATTACGCCTTTATATAGTAGTTATAGTAATAATAATATTATATAGCTTACTACTACTACTAGTGTTACCTTCTAGCGTATTAACTAGTGTATAAATAAGACCTAGGCCTAAACTAACCTTTATATTAATAGGCTTAAAAGCGCTACTAAGCGCACTACCTGTAGTATTAAGACTCTTATTATTAGTATTAATTTCCCTTTATTCCCTTTTATATATTCTAATATTTACTTTCTTTAGGCCTAGGGTAATATCTATTAGTAAACTATTAAAGCACTACTCTCCTCCTACTACTACTACTACTATTACTTATACTTGTTAACTAAGTCCTCCCTTACCTACGCTACGCGCAAGCGTTACCGCGATTACTAAGAGATATAGAGGCGTTAGGATAATATAAACAATAGTTTAGGGGGGGCTAAAGGGGGGTTAGTTATAAATAGTAATAGTATAGATACTACTACCTAATTATTAGCTACCTTATAAAACTTTAATAGTAGGGCACTTGCTTAGAGTATTATAAGGATAAATAAAAGATATCTCTAATACCTTTCTACTTCTTGTGGAAATTTAGATTACTAAGGTTAGGAATAATTTGGGAGATGGATTATTAGATTGTATCTACTACGATTAGACTCATATATATAGAGCTTTAGCTACCCTTACTAGAAGGTGAATAATTAGTAAACCTTCCTTACTAGAGCTCCTGCTTTTTTATTAGGCACTTAGTAGTAAGCTAGCAGTTAATTAGATAGTGGGTTATATAGGGGTATTAACTAGGATTAATTAGGATTAATTAGGATTAAGATACTCTATAATCTAGTTAATATCCCTCCTATAACACACCCCCTAGGTATAGGTAGATCTTTTATTATTATTGTAGTTACGCTTATAGTTAGTAGGTAGTATAGCTAATTAGAGTGTTATATATCTAAAGGGTTAAATTAGCTTACCCTTTAGATACTAACTAGCGCGCCTTCCTTGTTTAGCCTACGCTTACGCGCGTAGATATTATCTAGATAGAGCTCTATAACTCTATCTACCTAACTATAATCTTTACTATAGCTTAAGTTATAAGATTATTTAACCCTAAAGATCTAAACTATACCTATATCCCTACTAACCTATCTTAGTTAAAGTTAAAACCTACTACTTGCGCTTACTCTACCTACGCTACCCTTATCGCCTCCTATATAGCTAAAGCTATAGTTGCTAAAGCTGCTACTACTAAAGAAGAGCGCGCTACTACTAAGCGTAAAGCTATAGTAGAGTGTGTAGTAGCTAAGCGTGTAGCTACTACTACTATAGCTAAGATTGCGAAGCTAAGGAAGGGTGCTCCTACTCTAGCTCCTACTACTCTAGCTCTAACTTTAACTCTAGCTCCCGCTCCTCCCTAGACCCCTCCTAAGGCCCCTGCTCCTGCTCCTACTCCCTCTCTAGCTCCTAAGGAGACCCTAAGATCCTCCTACTATAGAGAGCCTAGTATTTATTATGCTAAAACTTATCTAAATTATCTATACTTAGCACTCTTTAATAAGTCTAATAGCAAGTGCTATAACTCTTCTAGTAAGGGGACTTAGTACTAGTAGTACTTCTCTAGGTATAGCTATATCCTAATATATATAATCTATATAAGAATTTTTCCTTTATAATACTTAGTAAGATCTTATACTAATAAACTAATAGCCCTAAGCTTGCCTAACGCTCTACGCTATCCTTCCTAGTAAGGAAGTAGGTAGGTAAGAGCTAAGACCTTCTTAAGGATAAGAAAAGGAGGGTCTTAGTGCTCCTTAAGGAGAGCAAGGCTAAGTAGCAGGAGCTAGTAAAAGCTACTACTACTGCTGCTAAGCTTGCGCGTAAGGCTGCTTCTATAGCTAAGGGCGCCTAGAGCTCCTTATTAGAAGATAAGGACTCTAGCTCCTCTAAGGTTCCCCCTATAGATCCTAGGATAGGGTAACCTAGGTAGCTCCCTATAGACTCTAAGGCACGCTTTACGCGCGTGATAGAGCTCCTTAAGGAAGCTACCTAGTTAATAATAGAGAGGTAGGCTATAGTTAGTTATTCTTATATTATATATTAATAGATCTTATATACTACCTTACTTTAATTAATATTATATAATATATACTCTACTATTATATAACTTTAGGTGCTCCCTAAACCTTATAAATTATTATACTATTAGGTTTTTAGTAAGCCTATTAGCTAGTATATTACTAGTAAATAGGTAGGTAATATAGAAAGATCCCTTTATATACTCTTGCCTAAGCTATATGTTTTAAATATCTACATAGCGTAGCTTAGTAGTAATCCTTTTATTATTACCTACTACTAACCTAATAGTTTATTAATTATTATAATTAATTATCTAAGTAGTATCTAAAGTAAGGTATATTTTAGTTAAAAAGTGTTTTAACGCTATTACTTCTTTACTTACTTACTTAAGCGCAAGGAGCTCTACCTTAGTAGTTAAAGTAGTAATAGTTAATTATTAAGCTACTTTCTAAATAATAGGTCCTCTAAAGAGCGTAATTAGGTATCTATATAATAATTGCTAAGTTTTAATATTATTAGTAAATAACGCATTACTATATATTATAAGCTTATTAGGATCCCTATTCCTATATTAGATTAATTAGTATTAAGTTTAGTATAGATAGATAATTACTTAATTAACTGCATTAAAGTGTTGTTTAGATAGGTTAGTAAGGTATTAGGAGAGCTAGGAGGCTACATAGGTAATATTAGGGCGCACTATAATTAAGGTGTAAAGGATTAATCTAACGCGCTCCTAATAGTCCTTAATCTC